GGAAGGTGTCTCTGCCCATGGCAGGGAAGTAGTAACTAGAGGGTTTTTTAGGTCCCTTCCTACCCAAATCATTCGATTCTACAGAATATCACTGAAGTGAAGAAGTCTAAAAGAGCACAGCTTATAACAATTTCAAAAAAATCTATTCTGTTTAATGGAGAATAAAGCCTTTGTGTCATACATCACTAGCTCTGGCTGATGTGGACTGCATGGGTGCTTACACAGGCCCCCAGAAGAAAGCACATTAATACAGCTGTGCCTGAGCACAAACAGCAGAACATGCTTAGAAGTAGTGCAGCAAGACTGTAAAAAATGAGTTCTTACCTTTATATACAACTCATATACATCAGTAAAGAAGTTCTTTATGCCATCTTCTTGCCTTACATCATGAAGCATTATAAATCTCATATGTACAGTAATTAAGGAGAATAAAACTTTTACAAAGAAAAGAGACATTATCCTGAAATAAGCATTTACACCTAATTCAACATATACCTAAAATGTTTAGCTGTACATGAAATAGCAGTGACTCATAGGAGGAAGCATTTAAAGAAGTGATTGAAGCAATGAAATTTGGAAAGCATTACCTTTATATTTTAACATCCCCCTATTTGAAAATAATCACCTCTCTATCCAAGGTGGTTCTTTTTAAACAATGCTGTCTGCACCTCTGCCATGTAGCCCTAAAGTTAAAATGCCATTCAGTGTTGCTGGGTATGTGTAACAAATGTTTCACAACAAACAGTTCTAGGACTACCTGTACATAGTATCAAGCCTTGACACTGCATTTTCACCACTGGAGTGACTGACACCACGCATCTTCACTGCCACTTCTCCCCTCCAGCATGGTCAAAGGGGTGGAAACAGAGAATCATACAAGCTTGCTCAGAGCCTCTTATACCTCTTTACTCCATGGGAGTACCACATTTCATTATGCTACTTCGGCTCCTACAAAGGTAAAAATTCACCTTTCCAGCTGTTCCCAGCTGCTGTGCCTCCCAACACAGTTCTTTCTGAAGCAGATGACTCTAACAATAATTGTGAGTAGCAAGAAAAATCTGTTCCAAACTAACCTCTTTCTGGGAAAAGGGTTTTCTTATATACATATAAGGAAAGAGAATAGGGAAGGATATGTCCAGCTGTGACAAAAGCAGAAACAAACCATTCATTGAACTTGTCCACAGTCTTCAAATACATGTTGTTAGAAAGCCACATGTTCTCATCTACGAGGTCAAGAGCAGCATGGGCAATGAACTGGTTGAGATGGCGATGATCATCCTAATGCATTTCCAGAAGACAGTAGATTAGTAATTCAGTGAAAGGAATGAAATATACACAATAATTTGCTGAAGTTGCTACAGAACCAGTGTTCAAGTTACATAATGTTACATATACCTTGCTTTTCTGTCACATGTGCCATCCTGTAATTAAATGAAACTAGCGTATGTTGCCATGATATTTGGTTTCAAGGGAGAAAAGAGGTCACAATAAAAAGATCATCAAAAACCAGTCCTGAGAGCAACAAAATCAGTAAAGCCTGTACTACATCCCAGAAATGAACTCAAGCATGAATTCTTTTGTTTACTGATGGGCAAACTACCACCACTAACTTATTCCACAACAGAGGCTGTCATATGTCTTTTTCTCTTCTTTCCAGACATCTGTTTTTGTGATATTTACATATCATACATAAAATGTAGCATTTTCTGGACTGTAACATTTCAGTAAGTTTCAGTCATTGATCTGTAGGTTACAATGTGTAAAAGTTGGGTGACAGATAAAAGCAGATACAGAGGGCAGATATGCTGATAAAATCACCTAAAGATTCTGTTTTTCTCATGTTGTTTACCTAGAAACAGAATTGTTTTCTTGGTTTTGGGGTCTTCTTTTTTCTAAAACCTAGTGCAGAAAAGCATCCTGCAACTAGTATTAAATATATGCCTGCAGATGTAAATTGTACCTCTTCCTATAATAAACATGAGAGTGATCACAGTGTTTGGCCCGTGTACTTTGTAGATAATCTAGAACACCAAAGGACATCTGCCAAGAGATACAGGACAAAACCACACTGGAAGCTTTTATTAGACTGGATAAATAAGCAGTTTTGCACTGCTTCTCATAGCAAAGGGATGCTGTTACTGCCTCTCTCACCTCTCAGTTTTTCCCTCAAATCAGCTTTTACGCATCCTCACACAAAGTCTAGTCAGAGTAGCCTTATTTATGATCTTTCATGGGACATTACTTCAAAACTGAGAGGATGCCATGCAGTTCCAATTAGTACCAGCATATACTTCCATTTTTGGATACACTCATGGATCCACACACTTTCATTCTGAAGTCTATTTCTTCTTTGATGTAATGCCACTTATGGATAGATTTGTTCTTTTCCCACTAGAAACACTACTTATTGAGTAGTATTACACTTCTCACATTTTTAAAGTCTTTATTTATCAATATAAGTTTTTAGCTTTCCTTACTTAGAAGCAAGTATGACTAATGAAGATGATTAAAAAAATTAGGTATTTCATAGCATAAATAAAGGACTAAATACATCTTTCAAATTTATGTTTCTCACTTTACCTTATTACTGTATATAAATGTCTTAAAAGTAAGTAGCATTAAACAATGAACAGCTACTATAAAACCTTTTCACACTAAGAGAAATTGCCAAATTTCTCTTTCCAACTAAGATACATATTCTATAACATACAGCAGGGAATATTTACAGAAGCTGTGTTTTGTGAAGAACTAGTATAATCTGGAGGGAATATTTACAGAAGCTGTGTTTTGTGAAGAACTAGTATAATCTGGAAAAGATTTTTTAAGATATTTGGGAAATCTAGAGTTCTACTCCCCATTACAAAATTTCTGTTAAAAAAAAAAAACCCAGAAAACAGTAGCTACTACTTTCAACAACGTGCTGGTCATGCTTCTAATACACTGTAAAATTATGAAAGAATCACAAGAGTGTCACAGGGAGAAAAAAAACACACCTTCGACTCTACTTTTCCAGGAGGCAGAAATTCCATTTCAAATATGGGATTATCATGATGACCAACTATCACGAAGTAGAAACTTCCAGACATTCTTCAAAACAATGCTCCTTACAAGACAAAAATGCTTATAAGTCTATATAAAAACTCTTAATCCATGTAGAAGAGCTCCTAAAAACCAGTCAATGTGCTCCCATTCATATTTACCAGAGACTAAAAAGAGACAGACATTTAGGTATGCACATCAGGAGTATGGGGCACAGCTCTTGGTGCAGCCAACCACCAGGATGAGAACTGGTGCCTAGTTAGTTCCACCCAGACACGAGGAAGAACTTACTTGCTGTGCGTGTGACTGAGCACTGGAACAGACTGCCCAGAGAGGTTAGAGTGGTTCCAGAACTGTCTGGACACAATCCTGTGCCCTGTGCTCCAGCACGACCCTGCTTAAGCAGGCTGGGCCAGATGCCCCTGTTCCCTCCCAACCTGACAGATTCTGGGGGAGCCGGAGTATATTTTCGGGAAGTGGACCTGGAAGTGAACCGAGGTACCCAAAACCAATTCCTGCCCTGCCCACCGATGATTTACCGCCCGGGAGCCCCCAG